GATAACACGAAGATGACACGATTTGACAAGATGCCCTCACGAGTGCCTTACGAAGTTGCCGCTCACGAAGTTGCTGCCGGTGTTGTGCCGTAGATTGAAGCCTTGCCGTAGATTGAAGCCCTGTTCGCGGGGACGCGCAAACGTGACGTCATCGCCTGTATTGATCCCTACATGTTTGTATTGTAATGCCACTCATATTTTTTTTTAATTGTATTTTAAGGTGACATTGAATGCTTTGAAATGTGCCCTAAAATAAAGTGTATTATTGGTGTCAATAGGGAAGATCTGCACTGTTCTCTACATAACATGTTCAGAGCAGGTATTTCTCCTGCCGGATTTGGAACCCCCCCCTATATTTTATATATGCTAGAGCTGCCGGATTTTGAAGCGCCCCCTGTAATTTTGGCCAGGATAGTCACAATGTCACCAAAATCACACTGGTGCTTGCTGTTCCCCTCTAGTTTGTGCTCACAAAAGCATTTCACTCTGGGCCCTGCAGGTGAAAAACTAAAGAGGAGGTTCCATATCCGGCATGGCAGTTGTTAGAGCTGCCGGATTTTGAAACGCCCCCTGTAATTTTGGCCAGGATAGTCACAATGTCACCAAAATCACACTGGTGCTTGCTGTTCCCCTCTAGTAAAATGCTAGGCCCAGAGTAAAATGCTTTGGTGAGCACAAACTAGAGGGGAACAGCAAGCACCAGTGTGATTTTGGTGAGTCTGTGACTATCTAAGGGGCTTCCAAATCCGGCAGAGCAGACTTTCTATCCTGCGGAAGATGTTCTATTTGCTTGCAGTCCAAGTCATTTCTGCGTTTCTGTGTAATATCATAATAATAAAGTTATCCTTTTTCCTGGCAATGATAAATCCCTGTTTTTACAAGTTCAAGTGTTTTGAATTCTTTCAACAGCGCACACCTTCTTTATTACCACATGGACACAAAATAAAGGGACATTCTTTTAACCTCACCCAAACATATTTGTTCACATTTGTGGTATCTTCTCCATTTCTTCACTTTATTGCAATAGGTTTGTAAATTATAAATAATTAGACCAATACAGTATTTTTCGTTTGCAAACACACTAAAATTACACATAAAGCAACATTATTTAAAGTGACACTCAAAAAGCAAAACCTCAGCTCAAGTCTCCAAAAATCTAAACACATTTTCAGCTTTGCACTCAATTTTAAATTCAACAGGGCACTTTTGCAACACTGCACGCAGTTCTACAGTTCAGGCAAACAACTGACATAGTCACTTGTTTGCCATTTTCAAAACACTGCCATTAAAAATCAATAATCAAATACACATGCCAAATGACCATAAACACTGAACTGCTTTATTGACTCATCAATCAGGATGAAAGCACTGTAAAAAGACTGTGCATGCCTCTTCTACAGGCAGGGCCCAGAGTGAAATGCTTTTGTGAGCACAAACTAGAGGGGAACAGCAAGCACCAGTGTGATTTTGGTGAGTCTGTGACTATCCTGGAGAAAGATATAGGGGGGGTTCCAAATCCGGCAGCACCACACCTGATCTGCCAGATTTTGAAGCCCCTCTTTAGTTTTTCACCTGCAGGGCCCAGAGTGAAATGCTTTGGTGAGCATAAACTAGAGGGAAACAGGCAACACCAGTGTGATTTTGGTGACATTGTGACTATCCTGGCCAAAATTAAAGGGGGCGCTTCAAAATCCGGCAGCTCTAACAACTGTACTGCCGGATATGGAAGCCCCTCTTTAGTTTTGTACCTGCTAGGCCCAGAGTGAAATGCTTTGGTGAGCACAAACTAGAGGGGAACAGCAAGCACCAGTGTGATTTTGGTGAAGTTGTGACTATCCTGGAGAAAGATATAGGAGGGGTTCCAAATCTGGCAGCACCAACACCTGATCTGCCGGATTTGGAAGCCCCTCTTTAGTTTTTCACCTGCAGGGCCCAGAGTAAAATGCTTTTGTGAGCACAAACTAGAGGGGAACAGCAAGCACCAGTGTGATTTCGGTGAGTCTGTGACTATCCTGGCCAAATTTACAGGGGGCGCTTCAAAATCCGGCAGCTCTAACAACTGCACTGCCAGATATGGAAGCCCCTCTTTATTTTTTCACCTGCAGGGCCCAGAGTGAAATGCTTTGGTGAGCATAAACTAGAGGGAAACAGGCAACACCAGTGTGATTTTGGTGACACTGTGACTATCCTGGCCAAAATTAAAGGGGGCGCTTCAAAATCCGGCAGCTCTAGCAACTGCACTACCGGATATGGAAGCCCCTCTTTAGTTTTTGTACCTGCTGGGCCCAGAGTGAAATGCTTTTGTGAGCACAAACTAGAGGGGAACAGCAAGCACCAGTGTGATTTTGGTGAAGTTGTGACTATCCTGGAGAAAGATATAGGGGGGGTTCCAAATCCGGCAGGAGAAATACCTGCTCTGAACATGTTATGTAGAGAACAGTGCAGATCTTCCCTATTGACACCAATAATACACTTTATTTTAGGGCACCTTTCAAAGCATTCAATGTCACCTTAAAATACAATTTAAAAAAAAAATATGAGTGGCATTACAATACAAACATGTGTTGAGTAGGGATATATAAAAATGATATTCAAAGGAGCAATTCAAGTGAGTGAAGCCAGTTTGAACACATTATCTTTTAGGCTTAATTGAAAATAACACAGTGTCTGACATGATCATGTGATATAATTACTGTTATATCATTGCTTACTATTCGTGGTTATCAGACACTTAAACAACAGAGAAGGTTTTAAGAAATAGGACTATTGACAAATCACATATTATCCTGTCATTGTCTGTTCTGTAGGAAGGAGGAATATAACAGAGTGGGACTATACACTCAAAAACGGAAGTTTATTCCAATACGAAGATTGTGACAGATCTGAAAAACGTGTCCTTAAAACGAGCCTCCTCGCAATTGTATGCACATGATTTATTCAGCTGTTTGCTGTTTAATCTGATATATCATTCAAAAGAGAGAAAAAAGCTTTGAAAAGGGTGAAAAAACGGCGAACGCTCAATACAGGCGATGACATCACCTTTGCGGGTCCCCGCGAACAGGGCTTCAATCCACGGCAAGGCTTCAACCTACGGCATAACACATGAGCCTGAGAAACTCCACCGGCGGTCATACGATGGTTTAGATTCCCTCACGAATGGCCCGATGTTGCTACGATCACAGCCGAATTTGAACATTTCCTTTATCGTGTGTCCATCGGGTGTCAATTTCGGGACAGTGTGACAGGGGCTTAAAAAGTCTCAAATGTAACTTGGTGAACTCCAAACGATCCCGAAAAGTTAATTCTAGTAAAACAAAAACATCAACAAGAGACTCTGGGAAGCCACTTGCTTACAAAACTTTTGCTCGGCTAATGCATAAAATATATAAATACAGAGATAGGCCTACTTGTGCACTCTGAAGATGCAACTCAAGTTAGGTCTTCTCCTCAGGCAGTTTTTTCCAGTTAAAACACAATTTAGTTCGAACTCTGCACAGTGGAGAAAGGATCAAATGTAACTCTGCTCTTAAAAGGTAACTCACATGTTTTGTTGATCAAAGTATAATTCATATTAGGCCTACGTGTTCTTGACTAGCGAGTGTACATCTACATTATTTGTAGGATTGCTTAAAGTAGCCTATCTCAATAAGCCAGAGAACAATGTGAATCAAGCCGCGTCTTGTTTTCAAAACACATTTCGGAAATTCTGAGTTCTCACATGAATATTTCATGCTAGTGGGCTACGAAATGATTAGCCTTGCCAAGAATTAAATATTCAAAGCATTTTATTCAGGTAGTTTTCCACAGCGAGCAGTAGCACTTGGTCTTGCCGGGACTTTAACTGGTGACCTTACTGTTGCCAAGACAAGTCTGGACTTCGCCACCACCGCCATGTTATTGCTTGATTCTTGTTTATGCTAAACTTGCACAGAGAAATTAGAAAGTACGCAGGCTTTCCATATACTGAAAACTTGATATCAATTGTGCATGTCCTTCTACAGTGAAAGACAGTGTGTTGTTGAAGGATTGAAAACCCTGTCAGTATATCAAAGTGTGAATATGGTATGTTACTGCAAGCCAAACTCCATACTGTAAACCACTTATTTTTAAGTAACTACACCTGAGTCCAAGAAGTCCAGACTTCATTTACAGGGACAAACAATACCTTGCTGCAAGTCCACATTCACAAGAGAAAACAACCAATTTAAGAGCAACAACACCTTGCTTCAGGTGCGAAGACTACAAAAAGGATAAAAGAGGAATAACACCACTTCAGAGAGCAGCAAAGGTAAAGGTGAAAGATGAGAAGGAGAAGAGATCTTAGTTTCTGAGCAATGGGGTGACACTAATCAAGCTTTGGCAGTAATTACAATGATTGTCCTGAAAATCAGAGGTGCAGGTTTGATCCCAGCACTGATGAAGAGCCCTGTCAACAGTCCTTCAAATTCAGAGACATGACACAACCTCCAGGGATCGAGTCAAGAGCTGAACAGATCAGATGTATTATGTAATATAAGCAGAAATGCGTTTTTCTATGTTTTACAATGTGTCCATCTCCTCTGCTTCAATTTCTTTCCCATTAAAAGTTATATCCGGAAAAAAAAAATTGAATTATGACACGTTAATAGCATATTATATAATAATGTAAGTTCCGCAGGATATTCAGTTTGCAGGCTTAGCACGGCTGAACATTATCAGTAGTGACGCCACACAACCTTAATAGGATTGTGACGGGAATTAGCTGCAGAATTAAATTGCAGGGTTTTAATCGAGTTAATACTGTTTTGGGTTCAGGGGCGGACTGGCCATCGAGACGTTCGGGACGAATCCCGATGGGCCGGTACTGAAGTGGGCCGGTCGGAAGATGTGGGCCGGTCGGATAAGTCACATACCACCAGCGAGAGTAATAATAACATCGGATTTAAAGGTGAAACTCGTTGTTGAAAAACTTAATCCGGTGACACATGCGCCAGACAACGCAAAGAGCTAGGCCTACTTACCTAAAAATGCGTTAATGAACCCGTACCAAATGCACCCAGCGCGTCCAATCAGCCATCGCCCCTGCACGCTGGCTGCGAAGCTGAACGGGGTGCCGACCACGCTCACCAGCAGGTCGCTCGCTGAGATGCTCACCAGCAAGAGGTTCATGGGGGTGCGCAGAGCCCGGTACCGGCAGAACAGCGTGAGCACCAGAAAGTTATTGAGGAACCCGAAGATGCCGATGAAGCCGAGGCACACCGCCACCACCAGGTGACCCTTTGGGCTCAGGGACGGAGGAGCGAGAGAACCGGACACTTCTTCGTACACCTCCGTCACTGCCGTGCCACCGGCTCCTCCGCCTGGAGATTGCGCACAGCTAAGGTTCAAGTTGCAAACGATCATACCGGGCAAAGCCGTGAAGTTTGCATCAGCCCGAAGTTTGCACCGCGGGACGTGAACATCCGGACTCGGTGCTGCTGACTCTCAACCCATATGGAGAAGCGAGGGCGCACGAGGGAGTCCACAGTTGTACCGAGCACGCATGAGGCAGACTTTTACAAGCACAGAAGAGGTTGGTAAAGCTATCAAGAGGCGAATGAATGAGGATTCAGAGAGAAGATGCTGCTGTCATCTTGGGTCCACCCATCCGCTGTGCGCTCCGGTTGCGGAGATGTGCGCTCCTGCGTTATTGTGCGGCCACCGGACCAGTGCTAAGTGCTCCTGAGCTTTTATCACCCAGTGTCCTTGGGGGGGGGGGGGGGGAGCTCAACATGATGTGTTGGGGGTGGCGCGTGTGTGTCTGTGAGCATGCATGTGTGTAATTGTCTCAAACTACAAACAATCACGGTCAATGAAAGCATTGCACAATAATATACCGAGGGATAAACAAACTGCATATTATGGGACAATGAGCAGGTGCATGTCTACAACAAGACCCCCCCCCCCTCTCTCCCACCCTCTAAACACTATACTGCTGTGCTAATGTACATGCCCCTTATTAAATAAATCAAACAATCATGTCAAGAGAGGAAGATATATATGCTCATGCTTAATACATAACATAACTTAAATTATTGTAAAGAAAACAGTAAGATTACAAGCCATATGCATTTCAAGACACCCCACATTCAGAGTAAGTACAAAGAACTTCAAGATGCTATATATAGAGTGAAGTGAGCAGAAGACAATAGGCATATGTTGATGAGCCATAGCTTCTTCTTTTACAGATCTGTGAAATATTTTTGGTATTTCTCTAAATAAAAACCCACTTATCCTCTTGTGGGGATACCAGAAAAGATCAAAAAGAAATATTCTTATAATTCCTATCATCAGCAATACACATATTACAGTGGTTAACATATCAAAACCCAAAAGGAAAATATCTTGTACTTGAAAGATATGAAATGGGAAACAAAAAAAAGTTGTATTAGAAATGAAATTCATATCTTTTAAATCCAATCTTTTTTTTTCATCATCATTTTCTTTATCCGGTAATCATCTCTCTTTCTTCTGCTTTGCTGGCTATTTTGTCTTGTGTTTCTTTTAGAAATAAACCTTTTTATATAAAAAAAAGAACTAGAGACTATCATGCAATGGCATTACAGTCATGATAGCAAATTTGGCGAGGGACATAAAGTGTGTGGGGGAGACCACACCAATGTTTTACCTACGCCTTTATTTCGATCTCAACTACACACAAATGTAACGTTTCATTACATCTTGCACATACAGACAGTAATATAGACACCTGATCAATTATTTAAAACTATTTATGTGCAAACAAGAATGGCTGACTGCAAACAGAGACGTTTAAGAGAGCATGGAGAACGGGAGATTTATGTTGTAATGAACCTCACACATCAGACAACCTTTTAAAACAAATGTGTAAAGCAACACAGTGTGTAAATCATTCCTTTAGCTGTAATTTAATTGAAAGACTTTACACAACACTTTCACAGCAGGTACAATTTGGGTTGACAGACAGACAGACAGACAGAGAAGGATGGGTTTGACCAAAAACAAAATCGTTGTCAATTTTCTGAAAGGTTATTTAAACGTCATTCATATTTCTTAAAGCTCTGCTCTCATTGGTAGAGTCTTACAAAAGCCATTAGGAGCACTGCGGGACCCCGGGGAGGCAGAGGAAAATTATTTTTTGTCATATATTATCTGCACTAGGCTACTGTTACGTTATAGTGACTGTTCAAGCAGATGAGACAAACCGTTTTTAAAATGAAGTTATCAGCTGAAGCCTTGATGCAGTAGATTGTGCCCTAAAGCCTGTGAGCACATATCTGAGCTCACATACAGTAGGAGCTCTTCTCCAACATCACAGCCACATTAAAGGGAACATCCCAAGTCTCTTAAATGTCATGTTTATCTGTTGTTTCCTTACATCTTAGTCCTCCCAATGAGGATGCCTGTAGAGATGCAGAAAACCAATTGAGTAGAGAGGAAACAGTTTTCACAATTGCCAAATCTACATATAGCCTACCTTTATACAAGGCATTTTCTTGTATTTAATTAATTTGTTTTGTTGCCATCATAACGTGACATGTAATGAACAACTTGTTTCCTAATGGCCAATAAATAACTAAATTGTACGATACACACTTTAAAAGAGGTACATACATAACTCAACGGGTTGTGGAAGAAGTAAACATGTTAAATTAATGTTTTTCTGTCATACTGTTTGAATTTGCAGTGGCAGAATATCTAATGTTTTGCTTTCATCTGAACGCCTTCTGTGAAGGCTGTTCTCATGTATCCAAGCTCATGCAGAGAAAATTCAGTTTCAACTTGTCTTAATACTTAAAGAGCCTGTGACACGAGTTTCCCCCATCATCCAAACCCATCAATTTGAGTAAATATTGTCCCCTTGAAAACCGTTACTGAACTGATTTTGGATATTTGTACTTTGATAACCATTAATCTGCCCTTCAATGTTGACCATTTTCTGGATCTTCTCGGGGATTCTTCAAGTCCCGCCAAATTATGTGTGACGTCATTGCGGGCACAGCGCTCCAGCTGCACCGTTCAGGATCCCAGCAGCTGCATGTAAACGCACGATGGTGCACACAGCAGCAAGCTCAGACAGCGATGACAGTTTAATTTTGAACGTGTCTGAGAGCTCATATGAGGCTGAAGGATCGGTTTATGTTGTATCTGTTAGAAGTTTAGGAATTAGCTGCGTCAATATGGGCGATCATTCGGTCATGTAGCCAGTGGGACTAAAAATCATCCCGGGACTCTCGACCGGCCCACTTCGGTACCGCTAGTAAATTGTCAACGGGGGGAGTGGGGGATGTCAGGGGCGGCGGGTGCTGTAGATAGTAAATGTAAATATGTAAATATTTGTGTCACTGCATCCTGGTAAAATACAAATATAATGCAATGTCTGTGTCTTTGACATTAGCGCTGCTAGCCACCTGTGCCCTGCACTACGAAGCCAGTTCAACAGACCCTGGATATGTTTGAGTAACAAACAAACTAACAACAAACTAACAAACGAGATCTCGCTAAGCGGTCCTACGACGCTGGTTATCAACTCGGTAAATCAAGCCAGGGTTTCTCTCTCCAGCTGAGAGCGCGTTCACGTCTAAGACACGAGTGGATCTGACTTTAATTACATTTGACTCGAGTGTTTCGTCAACATAATGTGTTGCTTAAAATAATACTTCTCTTCTGCATACAGTATGTGACACTGTAAGTGTTGCACGGCCAGATACGGCTGGAGAAGCTGACTCAGATAAGGAAATATATACATTATATGATCGATGATCTGATTGATGATGTAATATGAATGATAAGTGCGACACGTCGGCGTCTTCTCTGCATACGGCAGTTTAAACTGTATTTCCTTTATCCTGTAATATGACTTGAGAGATTTAAACTCCGCACACTGAGTTGATCTCTTTTCTATAGACGCCGGAGGCGTACAAAAAGTTATTTAGCCTTCCCAAACCTGAGCCTCACGCGCCGCCTATGGGGGATGTGCTAGTGACTTATCCGACCGGCCCACTTCGGTACCGGCCCATCGGGATTCGTCCCGATGGCCAGTCCGCCACTGCACCCAGCCCACGTAAACTGTCAACGGGGGGAGCCTCGCTGCGGGGAAACGGTGGACCTGGTGTCCCGATCGGAGTGGGAATAATATTAATAATAATCCGTGCATTTTATCCATTAATTTCCCCAACATTGTGGTAAAAAAACCACACGTTTAATCCATGTTGGTGTACTACAACTACAAAAAGCATCGGGTGGTTTTCTCATCAGGAAATGCAGACCGGCTCAAACAAACGGTTTTTAATCATCATTCTCACGATCATTTAATGTATTATATGTTCGCCGAATTGACATGAAAGCACTAATAAATGTAGTTTCATCCACTTGAGTTTACAACTACAAAAATAATCGATTTGTTTTTATATCACATCCTACGGGAGGAAATTCAGCAGCTCTCACTACCGATTTTTAATCCTAATGTAATCATCATCTTCACCACGATCATGTATGTTTATGTTCGCCGAATTGACATGAAAGCACTGACAAATATGAATATACTGTAGTCAACTTCATTAAAACGTTATTAACGTGCCTAAACTCAGTAATTCACCATTTCTACGCATGACAACACACTTTGTCCGTGTTTGGCTCTCTCGCCGCACAGTGAAGCGTTCCCGCATTGACGTCACTTCCGGCTTCCCCCAAAACTTCAAAATGAGTCGAAGGAATTTCCCCGCGATGTTCGAAATTATTGATATTTAACGGAACGGTATCGCTTTTTCTTTTTTAAACTGACGGTTCGAGATTACTAGTAGCCCAATATTTCATTGCACAACAGTTGTTGGGATGCTGTCACAGGCTCTTTAAATAAGACTAAAGTAAATGCATCGTACACAGTCCTTTCTTGATCATGTCAAGGGTTTCCTCATGATCTTAAAAAAAGATAAAAGATACAAATTGAAAGCATCATTCACGTGATAAGTGGTTAAAAAAAGGCTCGCTGACATGACAGTGTGTTTCCATGGAGAGAGCTATGCTGCCTAATTAGGCCTCGGTGTCGGGAATCGTTCAAAAATGTTTGCCAAGAGCTGCGCTCCAAGTACAGCGCAGCGGTACGTAGTTGCGCAAGCTAGCAGGGGCGGTAACCAAAGAAACCAACTACTGTAGCTGTTTTCATCACTAAGAACAAATCGCGTATCATGAAAGCTTCAATTGACAACATTTTTAGTTTTACATAACCTTCAACAAAAAAACAATGCTATCTTAATCATTGAATTGGATTTTGGAAAAAGTAGTAAGGCCTTGCCCATGGAACTCCTTTACTATAACTGTCCTCAGTTTAAGAGTCTTGGCAATTGACAATTCAAAATATAATAAACATAAAGAAGCTCTAAGTG